GGAAGGGATGGAATTCCCTAAGAAAGGGATGGAATCCCTAAGAAAGGGATGGAGCCCCCTAAGGAAGGGATGGAGCCCCCTAAGGAAGGGATGGAGCCCCCTAAGGAAGGGATGGAATCCCCTAAGGAAGGGATGGAATCCCCTAAGGAAGGGATGGAGCTGCCTAAGGAAGGGATGGAATCCCCTAATAAGGGATGGAATCCCCTAAGGAAGGGATGGAGCTGCCTAAGGAAGGGGCTCAGACAATCTGTGAATCCAGGATGAGATGAAAGCTTAAGGCTGCTCTCCCATCACAAGGTGGAGAAAGGGGAAAATAGGGAAATCCACCCAGAGCTGTGATGGGAGCAGGGAGATGGGCAAGGGGCACCCATCCAGCAGCAGGGGCTGGAGGAATTCCTCAACTCACCAGCTTCAGGGTGCGGATGCTCTCATGGATGGGCCTGGGCAAGCCCACCACGGTGTTGGTGTCACTGCAGGAGGGAAAGAGCCAGGCTGGGAGCAGGGCTGAGCACCCAGGGGTGGGGCAGAGACCACCCAGGGATGAAGCTACAGCCCAGCCAGCCAAGGCCTTCCCTGCTGCCACAGAGAGACAAAAGCAGCCCCCAAACTGGCCTCTCCCACAGCTCCCCCAGAATGGCAGCACTGGGCTGGCTCTGCACCCACCTGCCCAGCGTGTAGCCGATGAATTTGCTGCGGCTGGATTCCAGGAACATCTCAATGTCCTTCTCCCTGCAGCAAAGGGAGAAGGGAAGAGTCACATCTTCAGAGCATCTGGAAGATGCCCAGCCAGGCACAGGGAAAGGCACAGCCCAGGCACAGGGAAAAGCCTTGTGGTCAGGTAAAGGGTGCCCAGCCAACCCCACAAGAAAACAGCCATCAGAGTGACCCCCCAATCCCAAAAACCTTCCCTACATCCCTGCTGAGATTCCCAACATCCAACAGCCTCCACTTCCCTGACCCTGCTCCAGTTCCTCCAGCAGGGACACCCCAGACTCACCGGACCTTGGGAGCCCAGGGCAGCCCTTTGGGGCAGGTGATGCGGTCACTTGGGGGGTGCTGGGTAGGGGGGGGCATCACTTCATCCCTTTCCAGGGGGAAGGTCTCTCCCTCCAGGCTGTTGTCATCATCATTTTCCTCTTCTTCCTCACGGGAATCATCAGCTTTGTACGGATCCCTCTCGTTGAAGGCATCGAGGTTATCCTGCTTAATGAGGGCCTGGAGGGGAGAGCAGGAAGGGAATGTCCCACAGACAAACCCAGAACCTTTCTGGAATCTCTGCAGGTCACAGTGACCCCAAGATGCGTCAGAAAGTCTCTTTTCCCAGCCCAGCAGTTGAAGAAGGAGTCAGAACTCTTCTGTTCTCCTTCTCAATGTTGTTTATGGTTTCTTATCTATAAAATTTTTTCTCCAACCTGCCAAGGTCTGTCTGGCAGGTCAGGTTGAGGCACACTGCCCACCTCAGAGGTGGTGTTGTCTTTTTATACTAAAAACTACAGGTGCATTATTTACAATAACTTCCCAATACCTATCACCTATATTAGACAGTGAGCTTCTACCTTAAACCAATCCAAAAATGCCAACATCACCCAGAAGATGGAGGCTAGGAAAAAGAAGAAGGAAGACTGGACATGCCCAGATTCCTCTATCTTGCCCCCTGAATCCCCATTCTAAAAACCTCAAAAATCTATTTTTCACCCTATGACAAATATCATTCTGCTTAAACTTTTTTTACTTGTAATTCTTCATATAAAGGTTGGTAATTCTTTCTTCCAAGGGCTACATCAAAGGCACAGGGGTCTTGGGCTCTGTGCTAAGCTCTCCGAGCCCCCTGGGCAGGGGCTGGAGCCCTCCAGGGCAGCCAGAGGGATTTCCTGGGCTCTGACAGAGCCTGGCAGTGCCCTCCCTGATGTCCCTGTCCCCACCTTGTGCTCCCTGCGGCCGCGTTTCTGCTGCTGCTCGATGAGGTCAGAGGCGGAGGCGGGCGGGGAGGCCGCGCGCATGTTGCGGATCACCTGGATGCTGTCCTCGGGCAGGGGGGGCAGCCCCAGCATCTCCCTCTTCTCTGCCTTCATGCTCTGCAGCTCCTCAAACCCTCCCAGGGTGCACTGCAAGGGAGATCACAGCACGCTGAGCATGGCACAGGGGGCTCCAAGGGCATCTATACCTGCCTTTCCCAAACTCATTTTGCAGGATCACAGAATTATTCAGGTTGGAAAAGCCCTCTGAGATCATCGAGTCCCACTGCTCCCACAGCACTGCCAAAGCCACCAGTAATCCATGTCACCAGGTGCCACCAGTAATCCACGTCACCAGGTGCCACATCTGTGTGTCCTTTAAATCCCCCTGGGGATGGTGACTCCAACANAAGTGTTCAGATACTTATGAAATGGGACTTGTGGCTATATATAAAATATATATATCATAACATAATAAATCAAGCCTTCTGAAACATGGAGTCAGATCCTCATCTCTTCTCTCAGCCTGGGACCCCTGCAAACACCACCACGGGTGTGCAGCCTTCTCCTCACCTGTTCTTGGCAGTGATGTAGGACATGATGTTCTGGTTGAAGAACTTGAGGATGAGAGGGATGCAGTTGGCAAAGACCAGGTGCTGGGCCATGTACTCAAACTGGGGAGGAGAAATGTGGGTGAACAGGGACCCACTCAGGGTCCTGCCATGCCCAGAGACCCGTGGGCACTGCTGGACCCCCTCACCTGGTAGATGTGGTTGAGCTTGAAGTGTTTGAGCAGGAGCAGCAGCACAGCAGAGATGGCTTTGACAATGATCTCCTTGTGCCTATTGACATCCACACCCAGCTTCATGCTCTGCAGCACAGTGGTCCTGGGGGACACAGAGGGACAGTGTCAGCAGGGATTCATCCCTCTCAGGGTGGCCCAGGGTGTCCAGGGAAGCTGTGGCTGCCCCATCACTGGAAGTGTCCAAGACCAACCTGGTCTAATGGAAGGCTGAGCCCCCTAAGGAAGGGATGGAGCCCCCCAAGGAAGGGGCTCAGACAAGCTATAAATACAGGATGAGATGAAAGCTTAAGGCTGCTCTCCCATCACTAGGTGGAGAAAGGAGAAAATGGTCAGGAAAATCCACCCTGAGCTGTGATGGCAGCAGGGAGATGGGCAAAGGACACCCATACAGCAGCAAGGTGTCCCTGCCAATGGCAGGGGGTGGAACTGGATGAGCTTCAAGGTGCCTTCCCACCCAAAACATCCCATGATTCCTCAAACCCTGCCAGGGTGCATTGCAAGGGACACCACAGCATGCTGAGCATGGGGACATCTACAGCTGCCCTTCCCAAACCCACTTTGCAGGATCACAGAATCATTCAGGTTGGAAAAGCCCTCTGAGAGCATCGAGTCCAACAGTTCCTGCAGGGTGCAATGCAGGGCAGAGCAGGGTCACGTCCCCCAAGGAGCCCCAGCCCACACCAGGGCACTCCCCCAGCTCCCTCCCACCCCTCCTTCCCTTCCCAGCCCCAGCCAGCCCCTCTGCTCCACAGCCACTCACGGCATCTCCTCGGGCAGGACGTCTGCCAGGATGTTGATGGAGTCTGTCTTGGCTTTGGAGGTGGGGGCTGCAGCCAGGAGGATCTTCAGGAGAGCAATCTAGGAAGAAGGGAGAGATGGAGGGGGAATGGGAGCTGCAGGGGACTGGCAACAGGCCCTTTCCCCACTGCAGGAGGGAGGTGAAAACGTGGGGTGCATCACTGGAAAGGGACTGATCCAGGGGATCCCAGTGCTCCCCAGCTCACCATGTACTGGGGCAGGCTGGGCAGCAGGCCCTGGTACAGGATCTCTGCAGGGACTTGCTCCACTTCCTCTTCCCCCTGGTGCCAGGAGAGACCAGAAAACCCCATCCCAGGAGCTGCCACCAGCACCCAAGGGCAGGATACCCCCGACCCCTCTGCTCCAGAGAAACCCCTCCCCAGCAAAACAAACTCCTCAGTCCTGCCAAAAAACCTGGCAGGACCAAGCGCCCCCAACTCCCAGCCCAGGATCCCCATCCCCATCCCAATCCCATCCCATCCATCCCCACACTCACTCCTGAGAGCGGGGAGCGCAGGTACTCCTCTTCCATGTGCACCTGCACCTCAGCAATGGATGTGTACTTGTGCTGCAGGGGGACAGGGGGGGTCACCACGGTCCCCAGTGCTGCCCCCAGCCCCAGCCTGCTCCCACCACCCTGTTCCATCCCTCCCAGATCCCTGACCAAGGGGTGACCTGGCTAGATGGGCAGGGTGGGAGCTGCTGGGCTCAGGTCTGGGACAAGGCCATTAGGAAACGGATGAAGACATGAAGAGAGGGATAAAACCTCCTAAGAAAGGGATGGAGCCTAATAAGGAAGGGATGGAATCTCCTAAGGAAGGGATGGAATCCTTAAGAAAGGGATGGAGCCTCCAGAAAGGGATGGAGCCCCCTAAGGAAGGGATGGAGCCCCCTAAGGAAGGGATGGA